TCCTCACAGACCAGGGAACTGAGTTCATGGGGGAGTTAGATAAGCTACTACAGGCCACGGGCATCATACATCGGAGGACGTCCCGCTACCACCCGCAGGAGTGACAGGCTCACGGAACGGTTCGTCCAGACTGTCAAACGGGGGCTCCGGGCTTACGGGGAGTGGTTCAAGCGAGACTGGGACGCGCGACTACCGTGGGTGGTGGCTAGATATAGATTCAGCAAGCAAGAAGCGCTACGGGACTTATCGCCATACTACCTCCTCTTGGGGCGAGAGCCCGTGCTACCAGTAGACGCGCCCAAGATACTCACGAGGTCAGTACAGGTGGAGAACGAAGCAGACTGGGTGGGACTGGCAGAGGCAAGAGCGCGGTATTTGAGAGAGTTACTACCAGCGGCGCTAGAGAACCTGCACGTGGCGCAGTTGCAGGACGCACAAAGATACAAGCGTCGGGGGGAGCAGCAAGGGGGGAAGAAGGACAGGGCCCTAGGGGTAGGGGAAGAAGTGTATCTAAAGCTGGCCAAACAGGAATTGATGGACATCGGGCTGAGCACGGAGTGCTGGAGAGTTAAAGAGGTGAAAGACTCAGGGGTGGTGGTACTAGTGAGTAAGCAAGGGCGGCGAAAGACAGACCATTGCACTAACGTGGCTCAAGCCAAGGCAAGGCCCAGGGGACGACAAGGAGCACCACCACACGGGGAAGAGATCCAGCGGAAGTCAGCAGGGGCGCCAGTCCAGCCGCGGAGGGGGCAAGTGGAGAGAGGGACCGGACTTAGGGGAGAGAGGAACAGAGAGCTGAGGAGCCTTCAGAAGCCGGACTGAGCGGAGGGAGAGAGAAGAAAGGGGCCACGAGGCAGGAGAGGAGTAGACAAGCCTAGTATGGAGGGCAGGGAGGCAAGAGCAGGAAGATTCCGACAGCTGTCACGATTCTAATCTTGGCGTAGGTGCCTTGGATATATATTCGTCACATATAATAGCAATAGAAAAATACTGTAGGTAGGATAAGACTGGATGGGCCGAAGGGCGAAATGAACTAGCAGGAAACAAGAAAGCGGCGGGCGAAATGGGACCGTTCATACAACGGTAACCCGCCGGTAGTACTTCAGAAAGTAGGCAACCTTAGAGATATGCTTGCGTAATTGTTTTCACACTTACGCTTACAATTCTCAACACATTTTCGTCCTGATTAAGCAAGAGGAACCAATCCGCACAAGCATTGGAGAACACGTTCATGCACTTCCTCAGCCTGCCAAGCTAGGGTTTGAGTTACCGCTGTGACCGGTGGCAGGGGACTTTTCAAGTGGAGAGAGGGACCGGACTTAGGGGAGAGAGTGTTGCGATCAGAAATTGATCGTGGCCTAGGATCTACTCAGGAAGGTTCGCACGCAGAGAAGTGATGTTGGTGGGCTCTTGACCTCAATAGCAGAATGAATGTAAATGCTTGAGATGAAATAAAACATGCAAATACAGCAAATATAAATATGAGTACAGGGGAGATGAAACGACCTAGCTAGCCATGTACTCTAAGGGGTACATTCCCTTATTCAAATACATTCCCAACCGCGCAGCGCGAACAGTTACGAAACTGTTCCTGTCAAACTCATATGCTATAGTCTCTGTAGGCTGTAGTGGGGTAGACAATATGGGGTACAACACTTTTAGGTTTTCCTACTTGTACCCACCTGCTTGCTAGTTCATTCATTCCTCAATTCTCACATTTCCCGCCAAAACCATCCTGTTTGCAGCTGTCTGATGCTGTCTGCTCCGACGGTTCAGATGCGTCCCAACTGTCTGACGCTTCAAGTCGTGTCCAACCGTCTGACACTTTGCGTTCATTCGCGATACTGCGTGCTTCTCTTTGCTGCGGTGAGGATGTGCACAGTAATATTCAAGTATTACTATTCGTAACACCCTCCTTCAGTCTTGGCCGCAGCTCGACTTGACCTGCTTGACCACGCCGCTGAGCTCGGAGCAGTGCTGATACTGCTGGCATGGCAGTCGCTTCGCGAGGAAGTCTGTTGCCATGTCACCGGCCGAGCAGTAGGTCAAGTTGACCTTGCCCTTGTCCGCCTCATCTTTCATAAAGAAGTACCACAGTGCAATGTGCTTGGTCCGGTTGACGAAACCAGGTTTGTTCGCGATGCGAATCGCGCTCTGGTTGTCACAATGAAGGCAAAATGTGGGTGAAGCTGGAATTTTTGCCTCTTGCAGGAGTTCCTGCAAGTAGAGGCCTTTGCGAACTGCTGCGGTTGCTGCGATGAATTCTGCTTCGGCTGACGACAAGGCAACCAGCTCCTGCTTCTGCGAGTTCCAGGAGATTGGTCCGTTGGCTCGAGTCAAAACAGGATGCCAGTCGTGGACCGCCAATTATTGGGGTCTGCTGCGTGATCGGTGTCCACATAGCCGATGAGGCTGAAGGATGGAGTTGGTGCAGTTGAGTAGCACAGCCCAATCTTGGGCGTTGAGACAAAGAACTGAAGGGCGCGCTGCAGATCCAAAAGATTCTCAGCCGTTGGTTTGCGTGAGTACTGCGCCAGCTGACTGGTGATGTATGAGAGGTCTGGCCTGCAGGTGACAGGTTCAGGTAAGTCTGAATCCCAGCAGGGGATAGGGGTTTATTGTCGGGTTTGTGGTTCGGTCCGGGAGTTCGGTAGGGAGTTGAGAGAGGTGCAGGTGGAATGTTGAACCGCTTCCCTAACTCCTCTGCATACTTAGCCGCTGAGAGATGAATGACCTCAGGCGCGTAGGAGATGTTGAGGCCTAGAAACTGCTTCACCACGTAGTTGCACGTGATGTCGACGCGCCCCGCCAAGGCCTTCTCGAACTGCTCGAGAAGCTCGTTGTTTGAGCCCGTGTAAAGCAGGTCGTCGACGTACACCGTGAGGAGAATGTATTCCCCCCGAAATTCGCGGCAATACATCCCAGGGTCGTGCGGCATCTGCTTGAATCCGATTTCAAGCAGGATGTTGTGCAGGTACTGCTGCCATAGCCTTAGAGCCTGTGTGATCCCGTAGAGTGACTTGCGCAGTTGGCACACGCGCGAGTCCCCTCCGCTGCTCCACGTAGATCACGGGGTCCACTAACGCGTACAGGAATGTGTTCTTCACATCGATCTGGCGGAGTGGTAGGTGCCTTGCAGCTGCGATGGCGAGCAGGATTCGAACGGAGGTATGGCGGCTAACTAGGGCGAACATCTGGTCGAAGTCGATGCCATGCCTCTGATCATAGCCGCGAACCACCCAACGTGCCTTGAAGCGCTCGATCGTTCCGTCCGCTACGGTTTTCACGCGGAAGACCCACTTCCCCCGAGAGGATTATTGCGCCTTTGATCGCTGTGTGGTCGACTAGCACCCAGGTGTCTCGTGACTCCAGCGCCTTGATCTCTGCGTTCACTGCTTCGCGCCATTCCTTGCTGTGTGGTCCAGAAAGAGCTTGCGCGGATTGTCAGAACATTATAGCTTATGCTGTTGTGTAGGCTATAGTGGGGTATCCCATAGGGGGTACAACCCAATTAGGGTTGGTACTTGTACTCACACATTTCATAGTTCATTCATTCACGTTCCTATTGTCACATGGAATCAGAGCAGGTCCCATCCTAGGGACTGTTCTCTAGGGCCCACCGAAGCGCGCCCCGAGGCGCGCGTTCTTCTTTTTTTCTCGCGACCCTCCGTGTCGCCCTTCCCCTCAGCGGCCCCGCCGCCCTGCTCTCGCCCGGCCGACCTTCAGTTGCGGCCACCCGACCGCCCTCTAGCGCGGCCCCGCCGCCTCCTCTCGCGGCCCCGCCGCTTCCTCGTCGCGGCCCCGCCGCCTCCTAGACGCGGCCCCGCCGCTTCCTCGTCGGCGGCCGCCGCCGCCTCCTCCTCACGTCCCCGCCGTTTCCTCGTCGCGGCCCCGCGCCTCCTCGTTGCGTGCCCAGCCGCTTCCTCGACGAGGCCCCGCCGCTTCCTCGTCGGCGGCCCCCGCCGCCTCCTCGTCGCGGCCCCCGCCGCTTCCCCTCGGCGCGGCCCGCCGCTTCCTCTTCGCGGCCCCTGCCGCCTCCTACTTACGGCCCGAACGCCGCCCTACCTGCGGCCCTACCGCCGCCTTACCTGCGGCTCACCGCCGCCCTACCTGCGGCCCTGCTGCCGCCCTACCTGTGGCCCACCCGCCACCCTACCAGTGGCCCACACAGCCTCCCTACCTGCGGCCCTACCGCCGCCCTACTGCGGCTCTTTGCTGCCCTACCTGCGGCCCCACCCGCTGCCCTACCTTGCGCGTCCCGCCCGCCCTACCTGCGGCCCACCCGCCGCCCTACCTGCGGCCGTCCCGCCGCCCTACCTGCGGCCAACCCGCCGCCCTACCTGCGGCCGTGCCGCCTTCCTACCTGCGGCCTGCCCGCCGCCCTACCTGCGGCCAACCCGCCGCCCTACCTGCGGCCCACCCGCCGCCCTAACCTTCGCGGCCAAGCCGCCCTACCTACGCGGCCCAGCGGCAGCCCAAGCCGCCTAGCAGCAGCCGAGCCGCCCAGGAGCCACTGAGCAGACCCAGCAGCAGCCGAGCCGCCCCACAGCAGCCGAGCCGCCCAGGAGCCGCCGCGCCGCCGGCAACCTTCCTGCAGCAGCCGAGCCGCCCAGGAGCAGCCGAGCCGCCCAGGAGCCGCCGAGCCGACCCAGCAGCAGCCGAGCCGACCAAGCAGCAGCAGCCGAGCCGCCCGGGAGGCCGAGCCGCCCAGCAGCCTAGCCGCCGAGTCGCCAGGCAACCTTCCTGCCGAGCCGCCCGACCTGCCCTGCCCGGTGAGCACCATACCGCTGTCACTGCGTGCCCTTCCCCTACTGCTTGCACTGCTCCACTGGCCGTCGTCATGGCTACCCCCAGTGTCCTCGCTTTTGACGCTGAGGGTCGAGCCATTGACTTTGAGGTCTGGGTCGACGACCTGCAGCTGTGTTTTTACAGTGCGATAGAGCTGATGGCCTTTCCCCTCTTTGACCTCACCTCTGGCGCCTCTCCTGCCCCTGCTGCTGATGCTGACCCCACTGTTCGCTCTCAGTGGGCCACTCGCGATGCTGCTTGCACGTCTTGCTTGTGCGTCGCCACTTGCCCAACACTGAGCGCGCGCACTTTAGTCAGTACAAGAGTGCTCAGACCTTGTACGACGCTGTCATTGCGCGCTACTCTTCCCCTGCCACAGCTGCACTGAGCCGTCTCATGCTTCCCTACCTCTTTCCTGATCTCACTGCCTTTCCACTGTCGCTGACCTCATTACGCACCTCCGCACTAGTGACACTCGCTACCCGCGCCGCCCTTCCTGCTGAGTTCTGCGCCAAGAACCCCCCCCCCCCATGTACATCGCTCTCTATTACATAGTCACTCGTCTCCCTGACTCCCTTCGCGTAGTCAGGGACCACTTCCTCTCAGTCTGTCCCACCACCCTCACTGTCGACCTCCTCGAGAAGGCCCTCCTAGCGGCGGAGAAGAGCATAGTCGCTGTAGGAGCCTCTCGTGGTGACCCGCGCACCCCCCATCTTTGAGGGGTGTTCTCCTCCCCCCCTGCTGCCCTCTGTTGCCTCTGCTGCTGCTGCCCGACCTGCTTGGTCTTGAGTCGTCGGCGCGGCGTCTGCCCCTAGCGGGAGACGCCGCCCTGGCAGGGGCAAGGGGGGCAAGGGCGCGGGTGGAGCTGGCGGGGGGTGGAGGTGGCAGTGGAGGCGGCGGAGGGAGTGGGGTGGCGGTGGGAGTGGTGGCGGGAGTGGTGGCGGTGGCGGCGGCAGCGGCGGCGGAGGTGGTGGGGGCGGAGGCGGTGGGAGCGGAGGCGGTGGTAGTGGCGGAGGAGGAGGCGGTGGTGGTGGAGGAGGTGGAGCTGGTCGGGGTAGTGCCCCGCAGCGGAGCGGCCCTGGTGGTGGTCCGCGTCAGCAGCAGCAGCAGCAGCAGCGTTCTCGGGACATCCCCCCGCCTCAGCAGCTCCGTGAGTGGTACGCGCAGAGTCAGCGTGGTGGAGGTTTTGGCCCGTGCACCTACGTTCTTCGCAGTGGCGACCCGCGCGGGTGAGCAGTGTGGGGGTGCCCCACGCCACCCAGCGCTGCTTTGGCCGCCTGACGGACGCTTGGCGTCAGCAGTTCCCTGACGCCTTTGAGATCCCCCGCTGGGGAGACCTTTCTAGAGCCGGTGTAGCGATCTTTGAGCTAGACTTTGATGCTATCCTTACTGCCATGTATGCTGTGTCTATTAGTGATGAGGGTGACTGTTACCGGTGTTTCCCGCCCGACCCGGGCATTGGTACAGCTGCGCTAGGTGCCTGTGACACTGCTGCGCTCTCAGGTGCTGGTGAGGCTGAGCTCTCAGGTACTAGTGAGGCTGCGCTCTCAGGTACTGGTGATGCTGCGCTCTCAGGTACCGCGTCGGCTTCGGCCTCCCTCACCTTTACACTTGACTCTGGGCTTCTCGCTCCTTCTTTTGGGACCGCACCACACTCACGCCGCTTGGCCGGCCCGGTTGCGGTCTCCCTGGCTGACCCCTCTGGGGGTCCTGTCCTCTCTCACTTCTCCACTGTTCTACCGTGTCCAGCTGCCCCCTCGGGCGCCGTGTCAGGCCTGTACCCTCCCCTCGTTCTCGATGAACTTGGTGAGTGGTGCTGCCCTACAGGATGCGGGGGTTCACCAGTTTACTCCTGCGAGTCAGCGGGTGACCCACTGCACGGACGCGCGCACACGTCGGCACCTGGCCACGTTCTCCCGTCGGCCGAGGTCGAGCCTCTACACCCTGACCACTGAGTCTCATCCTGTCCCTGTGTCTGGCCAGGTAGCTGCGTCTGGTCAGGTGTTTGCTGCTGCGTCCACGTTTGGTCCTGAGTCTGCCCCCTGCTCGTGTCGCCTCCTGTCTCACGAGACTCTCTTGAGGCACCACCATCTTGTCCACCCCTCCTTGCCACGTCTCAGGGACATGGCTTCCCGTGTCCTTGTCTCTGGTCTTCCCCAGTCTCTCCCTCCCCTTCCTTCGGGGCCAGGATCTTTCTGTGTCCCTTGTGTCGAGGGGCGCCTCCGGGCTGCCCCCCACTCCTCCCAGTTTCCTCCGACAGAGGCTCCTCTGCAGACGCTTCACATGGACGTGTGGGGCCCGGCCCGCGTCCGTGGACAGGGTCACGAGCGCTACTTCCTGTTGGTGGTTGACGACTACTCGCGTTTCACCACAGTCTTCCCCTTGCGCAGCAAGGGTGATGTCACTGAGGTGTTGATCCACTGGATCCGCGCGGCTCGTCTCCAGCTAAGGAGGAGCTTCGGCTCGGACTTTCCCGTTCTGCGTCTGCACTCTGACCGAGGTGGAGAGTTTTCCTCTGGCCTTCTGCGAGCCTACTGTCGTGCACAGGGCATCCGCCAGACCTTTACGCTTCCGGACTCTCCACAGCAAAATGGGATTGCTGAGCGCCGCATTGGCATGGTCATGGACGTCGCCCGTACGTCCATGATGCATGCGGCTGCCCCCCATTTTCTGTGGCCGTTTGCGGTGAGGTACGCGGCGCATCAGATCAACCTTCACCCCGGGGTTTCCCGGCCGGGGAAGGTCCGTACCTCCCCGGCCCTCCTGTGGACTGGGAAGGTCGGTGATGCGTCTGCGTTCCGTGTCTGGGGATCTCGGGCGTTTGTCCGCGACTTGTCTGCGGACAAGCTGTCCCCCCTAATGCTCCAGGGTGGCAGTTCTACCACCCCTCCTCTCGTCGTGTTCTGTCCTCCCAGGACGTCACGTTCGACGAGTCAGTCCCCTTCTACCGCCTCTTCCCCTACCGCACTCCTTCCCTCCCCCCGCCACCGGACTTCCTTGTGCCAGGTCCCCCCCCGGTAGACCCCCTCCCCCCTCAGGTTCCTGCCCCTTCAGGTGTGTCCCAAGTAGACGCCGTCGAGCCGGTCGAGGTTGCTCTGGTCCTGCTGAGGGTGCTGAGCCTGGGGGTTCCGACTCTAGGGGTGCTATCCGCGTGGGTGCTGAACCTGGGGTGACGAGCCTGGGGGTGCTGAGCCTGCGGGTGCTGTGCGCGTGGGTGCTGAGCCCGGGGGTGACGAGCCTGAGGTTGCTGAGTCTGTGGTTGCTGCGCCGGAGGGTTTTGAGCCTGGAGGTGCTGCGTCTAGAGCTGCTGAGCCGGGGAGTGCGGAGCCTACGGCCACCGGACCTCCCGTTGTGGCGTCTGGCGGTGCTGGGCCTGGAGTTTCTCCGGGTGTTCCATCTTGGGGGAGCCCCTCTCTCCACAGGAGCTGCGCGAGTGGTTTGCTCGCCGCTGGAGGTGTACTACTGGAGTTGGAGCTTCTTCGGTCGCTGAGGGTGCTGGTGCCGCCGGTCCTGGAGCTGCTGGGCCTTCGGGTCCTACTGGAGCTGGAGCTGCTCAGGGGTTGGTGCTGAGACTGCTGCTGTTTGTCCTGGAGGTGGTCGTGCTGCTGGTGGTGCTGTTGACGCTGGTGCTGCCGCTGAGGGTTCTGGTGCTGTCCCTGCTGGGCCTGGAGTCCCCGCGCGGCCTCGGCCACACTTCGTTCCGCTCCTGCAACAGGTTCTTGGTCTTCCTCCTTCTGTAGAGTGTCTGCCGTCTATCCTGTCGCCGTCACTGTTAGAGCCAGCCTCCCCACTGCCTGCTCCCTCTCCTTACACTGGCCCTATTGGAGGTCCTGCTGAGCGTTGTGAGCCTGCGTCTCGTCCCGTGTCGCCAGTTCGAGCAGCTCGCGCTAGTGGTTGCAGTTCGCGTCAGCGTCCTCCTCCTGTCCCTCGCATGCACCGGATGTCTCTGCATCCGTCCACTGCTCCTCTGCGTGCCCCTTTGCCTTCTCCTCCTGAGTCCTCTCTTCCCGCGCTTTCCGACCCAAAGTCGGTCTCTCTTCGTGCTGCCAGTCCTACTGTCACGCGTCTTCTTGCTACTGTTGTCACTGACCCCTCTTTTGAGTCCACTGCTGCGTCTGCTCTTGTCGCTGAGCTCGTCGACTTTGCTGCTCGCTGTCGTCTAGACTACGCTGCTAGTCTTGTAACACGGATTTCGGGGCTCGATGACACGTGGCGCCTTCGAAGTTGCGGTGTGAAGCCCGAGCAGCTGCAGTCCTGAGATAGTGCTGTCATGGCGACGTTGCGGGATGACTTCCTGTTCGTCGTCGTCATCGCTTTCTGGTTCAAGAGGCGCTGGTGGTGCTGTGCCTCTGCCGGTTCCGCCTGTTCCGCTTCCGCCTGCTGCGCCCATTCCTCCTCCCGAGGAATCGTCGTCGTCGCTGCTCCGTTGTTCTTCCCACACGAACTCGCCCCTCGTATCCTGCTCCAAGATTGATGCAGCGGCTTCGTCTTCGAGCGTTGCGTAGCTGTGCTCGTCGTTCGCGTAGACGCGGTTCGCGTTCGTTTCTTTGTCGCGGCGGAACTGGTCGAGGAAGAGGCGCTCGTAGAAGATGACATCGCGAGAGCGTAAGCGATTTTCTGACTTAGGAGGTCCAGCACGATCCACGCCTTGTACTCATGACTGATGCCGAGATGGATCCCCCAGCCTGCGCGGCTGGCAAATTTGCCGATGGTTGAGGTTGACGGGCGGTATTGAACCATGCACCCCCATACGCGCAGCATGGAGATATCCCCTTTGGTCTCGGTCCATTTGACGTGCGGGGACAGATTTCCGGTGATGGCGGTGGTCGAGAGTAGGTGGTGCACCCGCACTGCATGGTGCATCGCGTAGGTCCACTAGATCGGCGGCAATTTCGACTGCTTCATAAGTGCGCGCACCTTCGTCATTAGCGTGCGGTTCGTCCACTCAGCTACGCCCAGTTGCTAGTGTGCGTAGGGGAGAGAAATGTGGTGCTCCATCCCTTTTTGCGTGAGGTAGGTTTGCATCTGGTTGCTCGTGAATTCTGCCGCGCCGTCAGATTGCCATGTTTTCAGCTTCTTCCCAGACTGTCGCTCTACGTGCGCCAGCCAGAGGCGAAACACCTCGTAGGCTCTGTCGCGTCACTCCACGTTTACGACCCACACGTAGCGCGTTCCAGCGTCGATGAAGGTGAGCGTGTACATTTCGTCCTCGGCTCCGCAATGCCCCACGTTCAGGAAATCGCTGCACACCTTGTGTAGCTTGGGGTAGCGGTTCGTTCCAGGTTCGAGCAGCAAGAACGTTTGGTGGCTCAGCGCAGCTTCGAGGCAGACGGTGGAGTTGCGCGGATGTGTCGTGCCTCTCACTTTGGAGCCATCAGGGCGCAGGAGTGCGCGAGGAGCGAAGAAGCCTACGTCGATGTAGTTTTTCAGCGTCGCGCGTGAAGGGTGTCCGAGGCGCTGGTGCCAGAGAGTATCATCAGCGCGAAAGCTGGAGGTGCGTATGTATCATGCGCGTGCTTCTTCAGGGTCTTCGTCAGGTACAGGAGCAGGTTCTGCTGCTACTCCCTCTGCTTCTTCTTCTTCCGGCGCGGTGGTAAGCATCAGCGCCAAGAACTCTCTGTCGCGAATCTCAGAGAGCAGAATGTTGGTCCCAGGGATGGTTCCAGGGACGAAGGTGGGTTCGCGTGGCTCAGGGGCAGGCCCGTAGACGGTGCGATGCGGGGTTGACAGCTCGTTGCCCCAGATGATGGTATCCCATGGATCGCGACGCAAGGGGTTGTTAGGAGGAGGTGGTGCGAGTGGAATGTGACGCGGGGGGCGTGTAAGAATTGATGAATAAAACGAACTAGCACAAAGTTGGGTACAAGTAGGAAACCCTAGGAAATTGTACCCCATAGTGTCTACCCCACTAAAGCCTACACAAGCTATATAATATGAGTTTGACACACCCCCATAGGCAAAGTGGGGGAGAACAAGAGGTCTCAAGGCCAGTCAAGCAAAGCAAAGCAAGCTCAGGGTGGATCACAAAGTCACCACACAATCCGAGCAGAAGAGCAAGGCCAAAAGGCCAGTTCACATGCAAGATCATATATAAAGGCAAACAAGCAAGTGCAGGTACAGAAAGATCACAGTACAAGCAAGGTCAAGAAGTGAGCAAGTGAGGCCAAGTAGGCACAATACCTAACATCATACAGAAGCGCTGATGATCACAAGGCGGAAGTGCCTTGGTAAAGATATCAGCACTGTTGGCCTTAGAGTCCACGTAAGCAAGGCGCAGTTGACCACGCTGTTGCAGCTCAAGAGCAAGGAAGTAGCAAAGAGCAATGTGCTTCGTTATCTGCTCCACTCTGTGCTCCCAACACTTGTCTACGTACAGAACTGGAGGAGAACGAGGCGACTCTCCTAGGTCAGTTAGCAGCTCGGTGAGCTAGCATAGCTCCTGTGCAGCCATGGCCCCTGCGTAGATCTCAGCCTCACAGCTGGAGCTGAGAACAGAAGACGAGCGGGTAGACCGCCACGAGAAAGAGCCGGAACCAAGGCTGAAGGTGTAACCCTGTAACGACCGCTGCAGAGCCTGGTCGTCAGCCCAAGAAGCGTCTGCGTGACGTGTGAGGACCACTCGACGTCGCCCTCCAAGCACTAGCCCCATGCCTGGCGTACTGCACAAGTAGCGCAACACCCTCTTCGCTGCACCCATGTGCTCTGGTCTGTGTCTGCCATGAGCAACATAGCATGCCAAGATGCTAAGAGGGTATGCAAGGTCAGGTCGTGTGCAGGTCATTCGGTACATGAGGCAGCCAACAAGCTCTGGGTACGGGCCACTCAGCTCTACGGACTCATCCGAAGGCAGAGCTGAGAGCGAGTGGCGAGTAGACAGAGGAGTGGCCTGAGGCGAGGAGTACGTGAAGTCGAAGCGCTGAAGGACCTGCTGCACCATGTGTGACTAAGTCAGGGTAATGGTGCGCTGTGCTCTGTCCCGGGTGATCT